TCAACTAAGACAAGGTCATCCGTATTATACATTTACATACTCCGTATTTTATTTTTTGATAAAATATATTTTGTCACAACTTATATTTTAATATTTTATTTTTTTCTTCTACTTCCTCATCAATAAATTTTTCTTTTTGTGCGAAAAAGGTATATGAATATTTGTAATGCAGTTTTAGAAAATACATGTATATTTATATATTGATTGTTGCGGGACAAGGCAACAATGCAACATGGGTCCTTACTAATACTCTCTCCCACCTCATTGTGATTTGTGTGCATACTTCGGGCGGACATCCCCATTTGCATGATAGAGGAAGGCAGACCTTCCCCAAAAATTCCGAGCTAGTGTGGGTCCTCGCGGGCCGGATTTTTACATGCCTAAGCGTAACTGAGGGGGCATATGAGGCTCTGACCCACTCCAAATTTTAAAATTGCATCCATTTAAGGTTTAAAAGAAATTATATGAAAACTATTTAAAATTTTATTTGTACCAATCCAATCCGGTGGATCCTCGTGCCTACGTCAGTGATAGTGGTATCTCACCCGGGACTGGATATTAGGCTATCCACATCCTTGCAATGTCTTAAAACTTAAATGTGGACGCGTCGATATGAAAAATGGTGTATAGATTCACCTCGCCAATACCATTTCCCTGCATTCCAACATCGTTAGTAAAATAAATTGATAATATTTTTTACATCAATTTATTAAAAAATTAATTAAAATGAAATGAATTAAAAATAAAACTTTTATAAATTCTTCTTAGACCTTTTTATTAATAAAAATGAAATGAAATAGTGTAAGTTCAGTTATTTGCGTGGCGGTGGATTGAGAATTTGAGTTTCATGTTTTTGAGTAAATTAAACAAACAATTGAAAGTTCAATGTTTTTTTTAAATCATATCCCAATATCTTTTGGGACTAAGGTTTGGATGTTGTTGTTGTATTGGTGTCATATAAAGATTATAAAAATTTATAATAGAAATGGGATCGGATGAATTTGCTACACTGGCAAATGACTCCCGGCTTTTGCCCCACTGATTTTGGTGGTTGACCTTCCGGTATAAAAAAAAAAAAATGAATTTGCTACACAATTTATGTAGTCTTGCTACACTACTATTACTAATTACGAAGTATAAGAGACTAACGTTAGTTATTAAGTAGGGATGACCCTCCTAGCACACATGTATTATAGGGAGGAGGGTGCTATCGATAATATATGGATACTTTACATCAAAGTGTCAAATGTTAAAACCTCAAGGGAGGTAATTAAAAATAACCCGAAAAACCTTATAACCCACTAGAACCCGCATCCAAGTTGTTTGATTTCGTACATTTAGCTTACTTATACTGAATATTTTATTCTCTTAACTACTACTCCCTCCGCCCCCTAACAATGAGACAAGAGAGGCTGACACACAAATTAATAAAAAATGATTTATGTAATTGATATTGAATTGATAAAGTAAGAATAAAGTATGAATGATTTAGAGTTACACAAACTTTACCAAATTTGGTATGGGACAATCTTAGTGGGATGAAGCGAAAAATGAAGATGACTTTTTTACTCTTCAAAAATGCCATTTTTTCCTTTTGAAAAATTTGGTATGAGACAATCTTAGTGGGACAAATTTGGTAAAATGAGATAATCATAACGAGACAGAGGAAGTATATGCCTACCAACTACAACAATAGCTTTCATATTATTATAGTGTAATTTAAATAACATTCCACATATAATTGAAACATACTCGTACAATATTTTTATGATTGTGTAATAAATGAAGTTACGTTCATATTTGTTTTTAGTAAAATGTAATTGATATATTTGAATATTTATTCTAGAAAGAAAATCCATTAAGAAAATCAAAGAATAAATATCAAATAACACTATAGACATAATTAGGATTAAAACTTAATTTAAAATATTATGTGTGTTTTTTCAATGTTTAATAAGGATTAACATTATTCATTATTATATGTTAAGTACTATAAAATATAAGTATGTTGACGGGGTTTTCCCGGCGTTGACCCACCGGGTCCGGGTTGATCCGTGACCGAGTCACTTGGACGGGTCGCTCACCGGTTCGTTTTTACAACATAGCTCCAATGGAGAGTTTCATTATATTGCACCCCCACCAAATGTCTTTTTATATTAAAACTGCTCTCTCCGGGGAAAAACAGGGTTTTTACCTAAATATTACTAAAGTAAAGACAATTTCCACAAATGTGACCACATTAATATTAAAACAAAAATATGACTACGAAGGTCATATACAAAATAATTGTTAGATTTTAATGTCACTATCAAATGTCATTGTCACCACCGCCCGTGTCACTGTAACCACCGCCCGTGTCACTGTAGCCACCTCTCGTGTTACTGTAGACGTCTGTGTCACTTAACCGCCACCCCTGTCACTCTAGCCACCACCGCGGGCCTCCGACCATTGTCCTCCGATCAACTCCCACCACCTCTCCGCTAGTGACAACTCCCCAACCCCTAGACAACCAGACCCTCCACCACCACCAATTCCCCACCCCCACACCACTATCACTGTCCTCTACTCCCCAGCCCCACCGCCACTGCCCACCACACACTACCGTCACCGCCAGTGCTCACCCCACACCACCGTCGATGCACCACCCGCAACCCCCTCCCTGACCTGCACAGCCTCCTCCCCACCCACCCCAACTACCTCCACAGCCATCCCAGTCCCTTCCATGTCTTTCCCTGCCCCTTCCACAACCATTCCAGCTCTTTGTGCCGCCGACCCCAACCAACCCGTCACCCAACATCGTCCACTACCACCTCAAACCTAACTGTAGCCACCATCGCCCAACGTTACGCCCCCATACCCCAGACCGAACCATAGAAGAAAGGAGAAGATTGGGGACTGCGACGGAGATGGAAAACGACTTTCTGCGAGGACTTTCGTCAGATCTGGAAATGGTGGAGCGTAGAGGAGAAATTTCGTCAGATCTGGGAGAGGAAAACGACGATCCGCAAGAAGAAGAGAGGAAAACGACGATCGTCCAATCTTCCGCAAAGCATCGATGGTTGGAGCGCATAGGAGATGAGCTTTGTACGATATGTTCGATTGAGCGCATAGAGATAGTTGAGGCGTCGGCGACGGCGCGAGGCGTCGGCGACGACGGTTGACACAGTTGGAAGCTCTTTCGATTGACGTGCCTGGGAGGCTCCGACGAATGGGTCCTGATCGACGATGGACGCAAAAAGATCGCAGACAGGAGGGGAGCGGTTTCACAGAAGAGAGAAGCGGATGGGTAAGTTTTTTGGAAATTTTAAAAAAGGTCATATTTTTGTCTTATGAAAGTTGGGAAGTAATATATATGGTATTCTTTCAAAAAAAGTAGGTCTAGTCGAGCTTATGTGTCAAATGAAAAGTGTAGGTCTATGTGCCACGACACCCACTTACTTTATTTTAGTTTCTTTTGTTATTTTATTTTTTTTTTGTTTTTTGTTGTTCCATTGCAACTTGCAAGGCTCTCCCAATGAACTCTCTACATTTTGTAAATACACGTGTGCAAAATCTTGTCATTTCAGCTACAAATCTACAATGATCCAATGTTATTGAAGATGCCTTAAATGTTTGTGTTACACTTTTTCTTGATATTCTTTAGTTTATTTGTCAAACAACATTTTTATCATATCCAGCACGTTTTTGACTAATTTTGAACCATTACTGCACCATACATGTAAACTTTATATATCATCAATTTCTTAATTGTAGTCAAATTTGTAAGATATTTTTCGGAATTCCACCATATTTGTAGCCTAGTAAAAGAACGACTAATTGCACATTTGCACCCCATATCCTAGATATATTGTACCATGTTCACATGAACCAATTAAATATTTAAATTAGACAGTTAACACATACTCCGTATATAACAAAGTCAATATAAAGACATAGGGCCTGTTTTGGTAACAGCTGCAACGGCTGAATAGGCTGAATATGCTGAATGTGTTGAAGTGAAAGTGTTTGGTAATATGTTGGCTGAAATGGCTGATTGAGTGTAAAATTACTGTAAAGGGTATTAGCTTATTTGTGTTAAAAGTATATAGGTGTAAACTTTGCTAGTAAATTCTTTCAAAAAAAAAACTTTGCTAGTAAATTTATTTTGCTTCATTAGGTAATTATAAAATTGTTTGAATAATTAATTACTTCGTATTTTTTACACAATTTTTTTGGAATGAGAAACATTATTATAATTTTTTTAAAATAATATGAGTACATTAATTTTAAAAAAACATACGGAGGATAAAAAAGTTAACATGCACTTGAATTAAAAAAAAAAGGAACGAAGTATATATTGGAGCACTACATATGTGAACAAGATGATTTTGACCTGGAGCAATCTCTTCGGAACTAAGCAGCAATATAGAAGGGTAGAGCGTCTTTTCAATTTGCCACAGTAGAATAATAAAAAACAGCCGAAGAAGTAACCAATATGCTGCTTTTTCAGCTGATCATAGAAATCAGCTCAAACAGCCGATTCTTGGTCGGTTTGGTGGTTTTTTGATAGTTTCAGGCTTATCATCCCATTTTGGGTGCTCCAAACGGCCTCATAGATGAATCGTAGTACGGTACGTCATTTATCAATGGAAATGTGGAAAACGTAACATTCACCAAATTAAAGTGTGAATGAAAATACAAATTCTTAGATTGGAACTAACTCAAGGAAGGTATCAAAAGCATGCAAGACCAAATCCAAGTACGTAATACTCACAGTTATGGTCTTAATAACATTATGATTCGAAGCTCAGCGTTATGGAATCTTTAATGCATCAATCATCGGTTAAATTGGCCAAAGTTCATGAACTTCTATTAGTGGGGCAAAATAGATATTATTAGTAATTTTATTCGTTGGAGTACAAAAAGATATTATTAGTAATTTTATTCGTTGGAGTACAATTAATCTAGCTGCTTTAAAAAGTAAGTTGGTATCTATAAATAGAATGCCCCATTTTATTTTTGTGTTCGAGTACTAAAAGCAGTCAAATACATGAATACATCTAAAAGGCAGGATAAAAACTATAAACGTTGATGAGACACAATTTGCAAAAATGCAAAAAAAAGATAATCAAAGATTTACTAATATTTCGTACAAAATAATACCCAGTATGCGTTCCTAATAAGCACTTGTTATGTGCCAAGGGAAAGAAAATAAAATACAAAACTTACACCCTCATGTTCCAAAATCCAAATATTGGTGAACAAAATAGCTTTGTCATCCAACAGGTAGCTGGAGAGTAACCAGAAGCTGCTGTAGAGTCAAGTCATTCTGTGGTTGCTTTCTCTTTGCTCGCCATGTAAGTTAAGTACACATTCCATACATATGAAAATGAGTTGCTCACGAGCGGCTGTCGGTCACAAATACTAACAGTCGTTAGCTTTCGTTTCTAGGCATTCTGAACCAAAAAATATATATACTCTACAATGCCAATGAAGTGAGAAGAGGAAGAGAAAGTATACTTTTGAATGTAGTTTGGTTTGATGAAAACAAGGGAAGACAACTTTTTGTTATGGGAACCACTAATGAACGAAATCTCTCCATTTATGAGTGGAAATTAGAAAGCACAGAGCCATCCTCATCAAACTACAATCATAATCTAACTGATTCTTAGTAAATTACTGTAAATAGGATTAAAGCAAGGGGTATGTGTCCAAATAAGAGTATCGTTTTCCATCATTTGCAATGTAGCCAAAGACTCGCTACTTTTTGGCTTGGGAATATGATGGAATAAAGAAAAACAGCTCACTAAACTGTTTGCGCTTCGTTGTTATGAAGTAGCACCGAGTCCATGGAATTTTTGAAGCGCTTTTTCACTTTGGGTCATTTGGAAACAGTCTATTTTTGCTTTAGTACAAGGGTAAGACTGCGTACATCCGACCACCTTACCTCACCGAAGGTGGGAGCCTTTGCGGCACTGGGGTAATGCTGATGAATGATCATTTGTGCTAAATATAGTACTCATTCATTCTTCAGAAAAGATTAGGATAAAAATAACTAATAATCTAATACTTCGTATTTCATCTTTACTGAGGGAATGAATCTTACTAGTTACTATTAGGGAAAAAATGTCAAAATAATAGTCTTATTTGAGGAACTGTATAACGTTTTAATCCTATTTATGAAAATTCCCTTAATTCTTTTCAACATACAAAATATAGATATATGAAAAGAAAATATGAATTCCGTTTTCTGTCCCGCCAAACAAATTTGGGAAAATTCATTTTTTACCTCTTCTACTTCTCTACCTGCATCTTTACTGAGGGAATGAATCTTACTAGTTACTATTAGAGAAAAAATGTCAAAATAATAGTCTTATTTGAGGAACTGTATAACGTTTTAATCCTATTTATGAAAATTCCCTTAATTCTTTTCAACATACAAAATATAGATATATGAAAAGAAAATATGAATTCCGTTTTCTGTCCCGCCAAACAAATTTGGGAAAATTACATTTTTTACCTCTTCTACTTCTCTACCTGCATCTCACCGTCCAAATTACATTTTTAACTCCATATACTAGCTTTTTGTTGAACAACATACATGTGTAGAATTGTGTAATCAAACAATATTATAGATCTATATTTTAATTTTAAAGTAGTTTCGAACAACCAAAACTTAAGTACTAGATCCACCACCGGGCCAAACACGCGAACAGTTTGTCTATTCATTTTCTATTAACTTTCTCTCTATCCAACTTATTCCACACTTCTCTGTTATCTTAACAAAGCATTACTATAAAACCGTATACATGATCGAAAATAGAAGATGTAATTTTGTAGCAGGAGAGAGCAGACATCTTGCTTACCTGAAGATGGACAGGGATAAATCTGAATGTGATAAAATCACACAATGGCCAGTACATAACACAACTTTTCATTGTGGGGATAAAATCGCGTTTTAGCCGTGCAAGAATTTCATCTCCATTTTCACCTGTTGTCCCCCAGGCAAAAACTTCAAATCTCAGCACTTTGTCATACCAGATATCAATGAAATTAAGGAAAGGGGAAATTTTACTAAATAACCGCACCTTGCAAAGCAGCATTTACGGAGAAGAAAACAACAGTCATAATAGGTCCATATACAGTCTGGCCCAATGCCATCTTTGTAATGGTTGCTCTAAGATCTTGCTTTGGAAAAGCCCTTGAAAGAAAGTTGAACCAAAAATGCAGGGAAGGTCCTAAAATCAACATCCCATAACCAGTCATGCGTAGTGTCCTTAGAATGTCATACTGCTCCAAGGATGATAAACCTGAAAGTGTCTGAAGATATGCCTTTTCACTATTTCCGCAGTGCAAATATTGCAGGTTATATAATTTTATATAGGAGGCCTCACCGCCTCTTTTGGATTGATTTGGTAGTTAGAATTGAATAGAGGGAAATTGAATTATTCTGAATAAGATAAAATAACTACCGGAATGACAGAAAATATGACAATCACATGAAATGTGAAGACCCCCCAAATTTCAAATTAGAGTGTTAGATGTAAACACAAATCGTAATAAAGATTGGATTTTTTTCCATTATACTTCAAAATGCTCACATTTGCAATTCTGAATTGGGGGGTGGGGATGAACAAGGCAACTTAGAAAGATGTATAACATCACATATACAGCTGACTCTGCCACTTACTATTGGATGTTATCAAATTTCTACAAAGAGGCATAAATAGTAAAGATTGGGAATTTTTCCAGTATACCTAAAATATATCAAAAGCTACAGTTTTTAGTAAAGATTGGGAATTTTTCCAGTATACAAACAAAAAACAATAAGCCTAAAGCAACTTTTAGTTCTTTGGGGACAAAAAGGGTAAAGGAATATTCTTCAAAATGCTGAGAAGCATTGAGTTAGAATTAGAGAACCTGCGATGATAAATCGGCGGCGGTATAAATTACAGCACAGGTGACGCTCTTGGTGAGAATGGGCCGGGTCTTCAACAATTCCAAGTACCTCCCGACAAACCCGACCTTAACGGCGGCTGTCAAGCTAGTCCAGGAGGAGAACGGCAGTGATGTTATAGTGCGTATCGACAGTTCAGTCTCTTTGGCTTTTCTGTAAACAGATTGGGGGAATCGAGAATAGACTTTTGCTTGTTGGTGGCGGTGGTGGGTTCGGAATGTCGGGGCCCCGATGGAATCAACAACGGATTGTTGCTTCCATAAATGGTGCAGAGTTAGCCGGGTTTTCGAACAGTTTCTGAAGCTCATTTTTTTGCATGAACGATAAAGCCTCCCAAAACCCTGGTCGGTTCTTTTGATTTGGGGTTTTGGAGAGGGATACCGGGAGAAGCGTGTCAAGAGAAGAGAAGTTGGAGTCTTTTGTGTCAAAATCGAGATGGACCGACAACTAGGCTCTTTATTGAGCACGAATTGCAATGCAGGGTTTACTGTGTTCTTGGCAATACAAGTGTTGCACTGTTGCTTGAAACATATGGAGTATAACAATTTTTTTGTTAAAAATTAAAATAATACTCCTCATCAAAGTCTTTTTTATTAGGAAAATGCTAGGAGTACAAAAGTTGTACACAACTTGTACACACAATGTCAGTCACAGACAATTGGTACGGAGTTGCCTGTGACCACAGACAAGAGCTGTTTGTGTACACAGACAAATTTTGTCTGTTTCCACACACATTTACTTTTTTGTAAAAAGTACACTGAGAGCCGCCTGACACTGACAAGTACTTTTTACAAAAAAATAAATGTCTGTGGAAACAGACAAAATTTGTCTGTGTACACAGACAACTTTTGTCTGTGGTCACTGGCAACTCTATACCAATTGTCTGTGACCGACATTGTATGTACAAGTTGTGTACAACTTGTGTACCCCTAGCATTTTCCTTTTTATTAACATAATTATCATTATATGAAATCCTCTCTTCCTAGCGGCTTTGAGGTCGCGTAGGGTTTTTCCGCCAATAGTTCGTGCGGCTCTTCTTCTCTAGACTTTTAGAATGATTTTTTATTGACATCATTGGTTCTTTGATTTTGGGAATTATACGAGTTTCGGATTATCCAATATCCATCATGAAGTTAGATGAGTTGATATATTATATTTTTAAATTTGTGTGTATTTATATCTTAAAAGTTTATAATGCCCAATGAAGGTAAGGGTATTTAAGGAATGAAAAAAATGTTGGTGTAATCGTCTTGCTTAATTGGGTGGTACAACCTGTTTTGCAAGTTATACAGCACTAAAAGGAAATTACTTTGTCGTTTTGTTTCCGTCTGTAACCTCTCCCATCTGTTTATCTCCGTTCTCACTTCAATAGACCTTACATCTAGGCAAATAATACGCCTCTTATTTGCCATCAGGAAAACCTGGCCTCTCTTTTACCTACGTTCTTCTTCAGCCGCACACCCACACCAATTTGGCCGTGCCAGTCAACCCCATCCGCCGTGGAAGACGATTTGGTGAAGGGGAAGAAATTCAGGTCAAACTGGTAAGTGAACTGCCCATGGGATTGCAAGGCAGGGCCTCGGGGCTTGGCAAGTAAACACAAACGTCTTTAAACTTGAGCGCACTTTCTGTATCTACGGATGCTATTCTTCTATCTGCAGAAAATAACCATAATCAAATAGAACCTGAATTTAGTAAACTTATCATTTTTAAATGGAGGCTAAATCAGAACAGGGACTGTCTCATACTTAATTGTTGGTATCATTGCATTTTTCAAGACCAGAGGTAGTAAATTGATATTAAGTGGGTGGAGTCTGCTTCCAGGAATGCAGATACCGATATTAAAGAAGACGTTGTTAAAAAAAGTTTCATATGAAGTACTTCATTTGTAAACAAAGGCAAAAAAGTTTCTAGGCAACATATTTAGCTACTTGCACTTCGTTTATGATGATTTTCGGTACTCGATTGCAAACAAAACAAAAGGCAATCAAGCTTTCCAGCCTAGCTGGTTGTGAGATTATCGTGTCTAGTGGGAGGTCTCGAGTTCGAATCCCGCTAGGCACACAAGGGTTGAAAACTCAATAGAGTGGGTTTCAGTCCAGATTACTCCAGGCTCCTCCCAGCCCCCCTCTCCCAGACCCCTGGAGTAAAAAAAAAAGTAACATGAAGTTTGTATGATTGTATACTCTTTTTATTCACATGCGATTCGAGTTTGACTCAGCTGATATCTAAATTTTTATATGTTTACTATATTTAATTTAGTAATTTCTTACGGAGTAATATTTGTATGCACCTTAAGAGTATATCTATACTAATATAGAGTTCTAAACAAAAATAGAGTTGATGTTATTGGAAGATAGAGTTATAATCCAAAATATAATGTCGTGTTTGGTGTGGGTTGAAGTAATCCCCACCTTAAAAGTTTGATATTGTTTGATGAGTTTTTTGTCCAACATGAATCAATTAAAAAATTACTCCGTCCGTATAAACTAAACTTGGGTTGCTGCAATTTTGGATTTAGTGTATTATAATTTATAAACTACTTCCATGAAGACGGGGGTGCTCTTGCATTTCATCACTTTTCAACATGTACTACTTCCATCCCTTAAAACTTTGCCAAATTTGACCGTCACGAGGATTAATAAAGTAAAAACTGTGTGGTTGAGGTTTGTGCAGAGGAGAGAGAATTAACAGAAATCATAAATTCTTTACTTAAAAGGGAAAGTGACAAAGTTAGTGGGACATCTAAAAAAAGAAAATTGACAAAGTTTTAAGGGACATTATGCCAGTTGATTTATTACCTTTTGGCTCATTTGGATAATTGTATTCACACTCAATTATTTGACATTTTTGTAGGGCAAAACTAAATGTGTTAAAGATGGAGATGAATGTACCAGTATAAGGGTTGGTTTGCAACTGCTTTTAAAAAAGCACTTCTCATCTTTTGACTTTAAAAAAGCACTTATTTTCCAAAACACTTCAACTTTTATTTTTCTTGGCTTCCGCGTCAAAAGTGCTTTTACTTTTTCTATTACATAAAAAGCATTTATTTTACCAAACACTACCCACTTTTACTTTTCAAAATCATTTTTTTCTCAAACACTATCAACTTTTATTTAATCACTTCTCCCCATTTCATTAAAAAACACTTTTTTAAAAGTAGAAACCGTTACAAACAGACCCTAAATATCTGACATTTTTGCAGGGCAAGACTAAATGTCATCATCAAAGGCAAAAAAAGGAAGTCTCAACTCTCATTGATTCGATTTTCAGTCACAATGTTGAAAGGATGCTCTAAATCACAAGCAAACCAATAATGGAAAAAGAAGGATAGGCAAGACATACACACCATATTTTCCTTAACCAAACAATAACAACTGCAACCAATATTTAACACTAATACCGCATTACCGCTCTACATATTTCTCAAACATCTATACAATACCTTAGAATAGTGAATTTCCAATGCAATCGGGCCAACTTGAAACACTTCATTTACTTAAATCAATTGCAACTTTCACTATAACTTCTCGTCTTCTCTTGAATTTCAAATATAATACTACGTATTATCTTTTAATCCTCACCACTGGCTTCTATTGGTTTTACAATGCGATGCTTGCTAAAATACAAAATGCTTTGAAGTTTTTGCACACACCTTTATTCTTTATTAAAACTTTCATGTCCTTTATTTTCATTCGATTTAACTTACAAGTAAATTCATTACATTATATATGTGTAATTGTTCTAATCACATCATTTTATTAATACATTAATACATCATATTAAAATTTACTTTTGTACTTTCAATTGCTTATATTTGGAACTACTTAGTCACACTCCCACCTACAGTTCTATGATACATTTCTTAAATAAGCACCATAGTTTTTTTAAATTTCCAATTCCATTGCGGTAAAATATACACATTGTCTGATATATATTGGGCATCATCCCACACGCGCATCGCGCGTCCAAAAACTAGTATTTAAATATATTTTTTACACACACAAACACAATACTTATCGTATTTATGCAATATCATTGATGAAAATATTATTTATATGTCTCATTAGTCCCCGACTAGCGCTTAACGCCTTTTAGAACATATTTTGTCCCCGACTAAACTTATTATGTCATATTTTTATTGATTGTTTAAGCATTTAGGGGGTGTTTGGAACTAATTCTAATTCAGATTCTTTCTTAAAACAGAAACAGAATCAGAATAAGTTTTCACCCATTTTTCTTAAAGCTAGTCTTCCATAGCTTCTAAAAAACCAATTCTAGGAGTGAATGAGAGCACCAGAAGTATTTTTGTACTTTCACCCAAATACTTTAACATCTGTTTCTGCTCCTTCATGGAGCAGAAACAGTTTAAGAATTAGATCCAAACACCCCTTAACCAGTGGCAGATCTTGCGATCAAAAGGTGGGTGTTCAAAATTAATTTATCGTCAAAGTGTTGAAGAAATAATATTAATCGATCCAACAAATGAATATATATTACTTTTTCAACAACAACAAAATGGAAAATAAGATTAAATGCAAGAGATATTATCTAACAATACACTATTTAAATTATTACATCAATTCTATATGTATATTTTAACATTTTATTTTTAATTTTTTGGGTGTTCACATGAACACCTTTGCACAAAAGGGATCCGCCCCTGTCCTTAACCTTGGAACCTAAACCGTAAATCATCACACTATATTGATCATCAAATTAATGTGCCCCATCAAAAAAGATTGCCCAAATAGAGCAAACTTTTTTAGTGGTCAATAGGTCATACACTCATACCCAAGTAGAGGCGTAGAGCTGTAACTTAATCAGCCTATATGCACATCTTTGATGCCCAGACCCATTCCATGAGTTGCATTCTGGAAGTGATGGTAAGATTGAGTGTCAATGCTCCTCCCTCTTACAGATTGTTACAGCTTACAAGCAAAGTAAGAACACAGTGAAAATATTTTGAGCTACAAATTACACGAGACGAAACGATGCATCTCTCTCTTGCATATTGACAAGTTAGGGCATATCTGGTAAGGGCTCTTTGGTTTTTAGGGAAATGATATTAGTTCTTTTAATCAAATTACTGTTCAACGAATCCACAATAAGGGAAGGGAGAAAAACATACCAAGACCAACAATGGTCATCAGTAATTAATAAGAGCCCGTTAGGCGATTTTTTTCCGGCTTATTAGGTTTATCAGCTAATTTATTTACCAAACACGTAACTTTTGATTTCGTGCGTTGAATTGTGTAATAATAAGAAAACATAAGTTTAGAGTTACTTTTATGGCTGTATTGATTGAAGTTACTGTATAAAATCATTTAAACTATCTTTCAAACTTTAACCAATACAGTCGCTTCATAGTATATTTCAGTTATATTGGTTTGTATTGGCGATACTATAATTTTTTCTTTACTTTATTAATAAAATATATTTTAAATATTTTTTTCATAAATAAGTAGAATCAACCAATTCAGT